GCTCTGGAAGTCCCAAAGTTGAACAGTCCTGTGGGTTTTGGAGGAACTTGAGACCTCTGACCTTTAGTTGGCAGATGGCCCCACTTGGCTCGATTAGGACTGTAGGCAGCCTTACCTCCAACAATAATAGCTGCACTTTATCAAGCACTGTATCTGCAAAGTACGTTACACATCTTATCTCATTTCATCGTCACATCAGTCTTACGAGGCAGAAGCAACTATTATCCTTCAGTTCCATGCTGGAGCATGTGGCCTTGTTGGTCACATCAGTTTACACATGAGCATGTTAATCCTATCCTAGTTCAACTGACTGGCAAAACTGCAGGGACTAGCTGCATTCAGCTATTTGTCAGGGAGCAGAACCACTATCATTGTAGCTCAGTATTGTGAACAAAAGTTCTCTGAAAAGGGGCCACAAAGCGAGACCCCGCCTCTACAAAAAAAAAAAAAAAAATTACTCCAGCATGGTACCTAGTGCCTGTAGTCCCAACTACTCTGGAGGCTGAGGTTGGAGTATAGCTATAGCCCCAGAGGCTGCGGCTGCAGTGAGCTGTGATTGCACCACTACACTCCATCCTGGGCAACAGAGCGAGACCCTGTCTTGAATAAAAAATAAAACAAAATTATTAAAAATAAAAAGGAATTTGGAGGAAAGAGACTTTTTTTTTTTTTTTTTGGAAACAGGGTCTCACTCTGTTAAACAGCCCAGGCTGTAGTGCAGTGGCACCATCTCAGCTACTACAGCCTTGACCTCCTGGGCTCAAGTGATCCTCCCACCTCAGGCTCCACAGTAGCTGGGACTACAAGCGACTGCCACCAGGCTCAGGGCTAATTAAAAAATTTTTTTTGTAGAGACATGGTTTTGCCATGTTGCCCAGGCTGGTCTTGAATTCCTGGCCGACCTCGGCCTCCCAAAGGGCTGGAATTACAGGCATGAGTCACTGCTCTTAGCTCCAAGGAAAGAGACTTTATTCCAGAGAACAGTTTGGACACCAGAGACACACAACCTTAGGTGTAAAACGAAGGTGTGTTCCAGAGAGCAAAGGTAGGGTTCTACTTTTATAGCAAAAGTTTATGCAAATGAAGTATTCAAACTCACCTGGTTCTGATTGGTTGATAGAACTGAGCTCTGACTGGTCAAGGCAACTGAGCCCTGATTGGTTGAGGCAGCTAAGTCATAATTGGTCAAGGCAGATGGCCTCTGATTGGTTGGTTCAGGTGAGCTCTGGAAGTCCCAAAGTTGAACAGTCGTGTGGGTTTTGGAGGAACTTGAGACCTCTGACCTTTAGTTGGCAGATGGCCCCACTTGGCTCTATTTAAAATTTAGGCCCAGTTAGCCACTCAGGATCCATCTTGAAGTATTGCCTATTTCAGGTTCACATTTGTTCATAGTACCTGCCAAAAACTCCCCTGAGAGAAGCAGTGGTTAAGCGGGGATAACCTGAAGGAAGTGTACTCCATTCATTCCCCAGGCATCTCCAAATATTTTTTACTGTGCAATCCTATCAGTAAAACACAATGGAACCCACACCCCCGCCCCCAGACCTTGCTGCTCTAAGTGTGGTCTTAGAACAAGGAGCATCAGGATCGCCTGGGAGCTAGTTAGAAATGCAGAATCTCAGCCTGATCTACACCCACTGAATCAGAAACTGCACTGTAACAAGATCCCAGGACGATTTGCATACATATTAAAATTTGAGCAGATTTGCTGTGTGTAATTATATAACATGTATTAAAATATATATTAAACATATGCTTTAAGTATTGACATTATATTCATGTACTGGTGTTCTAATATACACATTATAAAGCATGAAAAACAACTTTTAAAAATATAAGATAAATATGAAGTAATATTTTAAAATATATTTTATTTGATAGTATATACATACGCAATTTATATCTTATTTGAAACATGATAATATTAATATTTTAGTGAGAACAATGTGACTGAATATGCCTCATTAATTTTGAAATCATGGTTTAACATTTTAGAATACTGAGTTCAGTTTAAACTGACCCTTGGCTTGAATGGATGTTATAGCCGAAAATAATAACTTACAAAGATTCATAGATGTAAATGGATGTAGTATGACAGTGGCAGTGCTCAATAAATTATGTTAATTTTTCAGCCTCACTTTGCAGTTATGCAAAGATTTTTGTTGAAATTTGACTATTAAATTTTCGCTCTCCCTGCCATCATTCAGTGGTCCTTGCAAAGTACATTTTTTTTTTTCTTTTGTGACGGAGTCTCCCTCTGTCACCCAGGGTGGAGTGTAGTGGTGCGATCTCGGCTCACTGCAACCTCTGTCTCCCGGGTTCAAGCAATTCTCCTGCCTCAGCCTCCTGAGTAGCTAGGATTACAGGCATGCACCACCACACCTGGCTAATTTTTGTATTTTTGGTAGAGACGGGGTTTCACTATGTTGGCCAGGCTGGTCTCGAACCCCCGATCTCGTGATTCGCCCGCCTCAGCCTCCCAGAGTGCTGGGATTACAAGCGTGAGCCACCGAGCCCGGCCCAAACTAAAGTATTTTTACAAATGAGTTCAAGCTATCGGAGTAGGATGTTTCAGGCAAGTTAAACATATCCTGTTACTTTAAATATATATATATATAATCTTATACTTTTAAATGTTCTGTTTTTCATGCCTTATATGTGTATATTAGAACAGCAGTACATGAATATAATGTCAATACTTAAAGCATATGTTTAATATATATTTTAATACATGTTATATAATTACACACAGCAAATCTGCTCAAATTTATATATATATATAAATTTTCCATATATATATGGAAAAGAAGTGACACACATAGTTTTCAGCAACAAAGTCACAAGCTGATGAAGGTATCTCCACATATCTGTTTTCAAATGCTCTCTGTATGGCATATTTCCTTTGAAAGGCACTTACAGCCGGGCGCGGTGGCTCAAGCCTGTAATCCCAGCACTTTGGGAGGCTGAGACGGGCGGATCACGAGGTCAGGAGATCGAGACCATCCTGGCTAACACGGTGAAACCCCGTCTCTACTAAAAAAAAAAAATACAAAAAACCAGCCGGGCGAGGTGGCGGCGCCTGTGGTCCCAGCTACTCGGGAGGCTGAGGCAGGAGAATGGCGGAACCCGGGAGGCGGAGCTTGCAATGAGCTGAGATCTGGCCACTGCACTCCAGCCTGGGCAACAGAGCGAGACTCCGTCTCAAAAAAAAAAAAAAAAAAGAAAGGCACTTACTTGGCCAGGCGCGGTGGCTCACGCCTGTAATCCCAGCACTTTGAGAGGCCGAGGCGGGTGGATTACGAGGTGAGGAGATCGAGACCATCCTGGCTAACACGGTGAAACCCCGTCTATACTAAAAATACAAAAAATTAGCCGGGCGCGGTGTCGGGCGCCTGTAGTCCCAGCTACTGGGGAGGCTGAGGCAGGAGAATGGCCTGAACCCAGAAGGCGGAGCTTGTAGTGAGCCGAGATCGTGCCACTGCACTCCAGCCTGGGCGAAAGAGCGAGACTCTGTCTAAAAGAAAAAAAAGAAAGGCACTTACTTTCTCACTGATTGTTAAAAAGGCATATTTCCCTGACAAATCTGCAGAGTGAGAACACCAGAGTCAATCTTGTTAATATTTATTGATATCAGGTATTAATAAAATTTTTCTTATTTTAAGATTAAAAATTAATACAAATACTAGTTCAAATGGATCATGTTGCAATCACCACAGAGTGCACACATATCTCACATTAGAGGTCATACTGTGTAGCAGTTTCTCCAAAACATTTTGAAGATGGAAATCTCTTTCTAAGGTGATAAGTTTTTCAGGCCTCTACTATAACAGGTGGAGGGAGGTATTACCATTGGTTGAGAAAACATTTAAAATATACAATCAATTCAATAACACTATTTTAAAACTTTTTCTTACAGAAAATTTCAAACATACACAAAAGTAAAGAGGTTCCTTAAATGCAAGGAGCCTCATGTAACCATTACTCAGCTTCAGTAATGATCAATATTGAGTAACATTTTAAAATGAGTTTGTATTCTGTTGATGTCCACACAGATGAAGACATATCATTCGTTCATTTTACTGACAATCCTTAGTGTTCAGATGGATGCCAGAGGGGAGACTCCTTGCAGCAACACCTCCATTTTCTTTCTTTCTTTCTTTTTTTTTTATTATACTTTAAGTTCTAGGGTATATGTGCACAACGTGCAGGTTTGTTACATATGTATACGTGTGCCATGTTGGTGTGCTGCACTCATTAACTCCTCATTTACATTAGGTATATCTGCTAATGCTATCCCTCCCCCCTCCCCCCTCCCCACAATAGGCCACCGTGTGTGATGTTCTCCTTCCTGTGTCCAAGTGATCTCATTGTTCAATTCCCACCTATGAGGCAACACCTCCATTTTCTACTCTACCCCCAAGAGGACAGAGGACAAAGCTTGGGGATTGCTCTACTTTAGAGTCTAAAACATCTTCCTGATTTATGCCAGACCAATAGGTAGCAACTATTACTTGAATTGCTTCACAGTGGCCATCTTGGAATTATTTTTACTAAATTGCTCTGTTTTGTGATGTCAGTGACCTATGTTAAGGACTATTTTTAAAAAGCCATCCTACACAACAGTGACTATGTCTACTATGGTCATGTTTTTGTGGGTGTCATTCATTATACTATATTTATCCAGAAGGCTACAGGGGACCTATTTCTCTTCAGTCTAGTATCAAACTAGTTGTGCTTTATTTGAGTGTTGAGATAAGAGCAGACTGTCATTATGATTCCTGATGTTGTGTTTTGGACTTTTTTGGCGGGGGGCAGGGCAGAACACATTCATTGTTTTAGTAATTTAATCTTGCTGAGTTGTTGAAACCAAGTAAAGGTTCCAAAACCACCTCTTAGTTTGTTGGATTATTTTTCTTTCTCTTTCCCCTCTCATTTCTGTGGAAGTGTGAAAGGTGGTCAGAATTGAAAGAAGAAGAAAGAAAGAAAGAAAACAGTTCTAGGTCTCTTCTTCCCTCACCCTCATTTCAAACTCTAGAATTCAGAAAACCTTAAAACACTGGACTTAGATGTGGTTTTGTCAGTAAGTTAACAGATGGATTCAAGTATGGTGAATTAACATCTTCTCTCGATCATATTTGTATACTCCAGCCCTAATAAGAACTCTAAGCTCTTTACTCATTTTAATACATCGGCGTGAGAGATCTTGTCTGGCAAAAACTTGGAGAAATAGGTATAAATCTGACTTTAAATGGCTCCATGTCAAAAGTTTTTACTTTCACAGGTAAGAAAGTCTTTTGATATCGTTCACTATCTTTTTTTCCCCACAGTAAAAGCCTAGGGTAGCTCATTTCCAGGGCTGTTTTCAACATGCTGGGACAACTCCAATTGTTTCAAGGAGTATTAGGAAAATGATACAAATAAGATTTTAATGCAATTCAATTTTAAATGCATATACCATACACCTTTAGGAAAAGAGAATGAGATAAACTAAAATAGAATAAGTGATAGTTTTCAATTCTGAAGTATTTGGTGATTATTTCTTTAAAACAGGGTTACCAACAGGCATAGATCCATTGTAAGCTCTGCCTCATTCTCTCCCCTTCTGTCTCCCTGGGCTTACAGTGGGGTACAATGATGTCTCCAGGACTGGGTTTTCTGTTACTGTGGACACTCATGACTCCTTCTCCACAGTGTTCCAGCACCCCATTCTCCTAGTCTGAGTGCCCACCTTGTTTACCATTTATAGTAGGGTTGTCCCCACTTCAAATCACTTTACACTTATTGCTCCAGTCCCCTCCCAGGAGTGTGGCTCCTAGGCTCCTACCATTTGGTCCCGCCACCTTCCCAGGTATGCTGTTCCTGCCAAGTGGTGACAGGCCTCCTAAAGACCACTGCCTGATGTTCTCTAGATTTGTTTGTCATTGGGCCTAGCATCTACACTCTGTCCACCTTACTGAGTGTGAATAAATTATTGTTTCACCAGAAGATCCTGGAACTGACAACCTGGGAATCCAACAACGGCAAACAATATGACTTTGATTATGTACCAGCACTGTTGTTTGTACTTTGCAGATATTAACTCATAAAAGCCTCATAACAATCCAGAGGTGAGCACTATTATTATCATCATTCTAATTTTAAAGATGAAGCAACCGAGGCACGGATAGGTTAAGTGCGTTACCCAAAGTTACAGGCTGGTAAGTGGTAGAACTATGTTTTAAAGTTAGGTAGTCACATTTCAGAGTCTCTTTACTTAACTACTGCTCTATGGTTCTCCCAGCACAGGGAAACATCCTATCACAGGGGAGGAAGTCTTTAAAATGAAAGAAAACATTTTATATAACAAACTGTCCTGTTTGTCCTGGGAGAGGAGCATGTCAAGGACAAAATGAGATTAATGAGAACAGAACACTGAGGACCAGAACAGGCTAATCAGAACTTGGAACACCTAGTCTCTACCATGAGGGGAGTCAATGCCACTGTGCAAATTATGTAGCCACTAAATACAGAACAAATTTTATCAAGAAATTAACAGCTAAAAAGTACGTAGTACATAAACACCAGCAGATAACTTACAAAGATATCAGCATGTTTAAGGACAATATTAAATAGATCAAAGTGGGTGCCTGAGGTGGGAGAAGAAAATAGGGGTAGGGATCATAGAAGAAGAAAGAGAGAGAGAGAGAGAGAGACAAAGAGAGACAGAGAGAGAGAGAGAGAGAGAGAAATGGGGGTGAAGAGAGAGAGAGGG